GCATGGAAATGGATCTAGCTGAGGAAGAGATGGCTGAGTCGAGTTGACGATTGAACGAGTTGAGCTCAAACGAGTCGTAGAGTGTGCTTTCGCAGTCCCATACTTTCTTGTTCTTCATCTTATGAACATTACTACTCTCTTCCGTGTTTTGTTTCATATTCATTATCTTCTTGTTCTTGTCGTGATTTTCCATCTTCTTATTAGTTTTTTCTGATCTTTGTATCAAATTTTTGTCTGCAAAAAACAAAACTATAAGTATGTATATTTTGGGAATTAGTCAGGTGGTAAAAGCTTGAATTACCCTCTGGTTCTCGGAAGAAAAAGAAAAGAAAAACATGAGAACTCACAATTTCCCATCTTGATCTTCATCACATATGATGATGAACTCGAGGTCGTAGGAGATTGATCATCTTTTGTTGTCTTAGGTTGCCTTAAACCCTCAAAGATTTTGAGACGTCCTTTAATAAGAGTGATCTCTTGATGACCATTAGTAGTCATAACATCATCTTTCTTTGTCTTCTTCTTCTCATCCTCATGAGCTTTTGTTGCTTTCTTCTTTGACTCTACTAAGGCTTTTGGCTTGACCTCCATCTTTCTTTCTTTCTATGGTGGAAACCTATATATGAATGAACCTTTTTCTTTTCTTTTGGTAGTGGTGATTATAATTTGCAGATTATATAATTTATGTGTTATATATAAACAGAAAGTTTTAGAGATTGGAGTATTTGGTGAGGAATGAAACGCGTAGCGAATAACTTTTTATGTGTATAAGACTTCATCGTCATGACCTTCACGGTCTCTTCATATATCAAATGTTGCAATTAATACTCTTTTCTCTTTCTTTCTCTCTACATAATTTTATTTATTTATTTACAACCTAGTAATTTTGAGGTCTATAGGTTTTCTATGTGGATATCTTCAAAACCAACGATGATCTATGACATTTTTGTACAGCATAAATCACTTTTATCTATAAATATAAGACTAATTTGTTTAGCCCGTCTTCCCGAAAACTTGAGAGAGAAGAAATAATTACGATAAATATGCCTAACTGTATTTGACATCTCAATTTACATATTTGCTTGTTTAAATGTTAGAGAGCTATACCTAAACTGTTGTCTKGTCTTAAGCAGGTTCATACATATTGTTTTCTGTTTAATTCTAATTTTATCCGACATCCACAAATAAATATTGAAAAATTTCAAAAAATGCAATTTTTCAAATGTCAATTTACAAAA